TCATCTGCAAATTTAAATAATTTATTGACTATTCCTTCATCTATGTCATTGATGTAAATCAAAAAGAGCAAAGGTCCTAAGACTGAGCCCTGAGGTACCCTACTTGTGACATTAATCCAGTTTGACTGAACTCCATTTGTAACAACCCACACTTATAGAGTTAATGTTTTTACAAGCCTTTTATGTGGCACCTTGTCAAACGCTTACTGGAAATACACATACACCAAATCTCTACCCTTACCCTCATTTACATAAGCAATAATCTTTTCAAAGAATCTCAAAAGATTTGTAAGGCAAGATTTTCCCTTAGTGAAACCATGTTGACTATCCAATAAAATTCTAAGCTTTGTTAATTGATTATGTAAATGATTTTTTATGAGAGCTTCCAAAATTTTTCCCACAACTGATGTAAGATTAATGAGTCTATAATTACTGAGACAATTTTATCACCTCCCTTGTAAAGAGGAACATTAGCTAACTTCCAATCCTCTGGTACCTGCACACTATTCAAGGACTGACAAAAAGTTGCAGCAAGTGGCTCACATATCTAATAGTAGTAAGTGACTCATATATCCAGTTTATAACCTCCTTCAAAACCCTTGGGGAAATATTATCCGGCCCAGGAGCCTTATCATTTTTTAAACTTTCCAATTTATTCTTAACCAGCTCAGAATTAATGCAGTCATCTTGTTTTATCTCAATACCATTTATCAACTGATCAGTATGTGGAATACTGCTTAAATCTTTGTTCGCAAAAGCCGAAGAAAAAGCAAAATTTAATAACCCAGTCATCTCATAATCATCAGATAATAGCCTTCCTTTATTATCCCCCAAGGGTCCTACTCCTAACCTAACATTTTGTTTACACTTAATATATTTGAAAAAATCCTTAGTGTTAATTTTAACATTTTCAGTCTAATTTCCTGTTTCACCAACTTTCTTGATCTTTTATAATCTTCGAAGTGTCCTCTCATACCAGTCAAACTAAGTTTTTTAAATTTATGATGCTTTTCTTTAATTTTATTTCTTAAACTCTTTGTGAGCCAAAGTGGTTTTTTACTTGTAGCTACCCTTTTCTTTCTATAAGGAATATTTTT